ACAATGTTTATTAAGCTGGGATATTGCATTAGCCCCTTTGCAGTTCTCAGTATATTCATGTTGCACCAAGATATTTTTGTTTTTGAAGATGTAAACAAAGCCTATAATTCATAACTTGGAAATAAAAAGTTTGAGAGTTCTCTTTGTTTTGGACAGTCAATCTCTGACTAAATAAATCCTTGGTCTTCTTGATTAGGAGAGTGGGGTTAAGAAAAGTCTTATGCATCTTTCATGGTACATTGGCAGAGCAAAGCCAATTTCATCTTTCCCACAGGTTTGCTTACAAACACAACCAGATAGCAATGAAGCCTTTTGAACTCATTTGCTTTAAACAGTATTATCTCCACACACAGCCTTTTCAAAGGCTATGAGTGAATGTTGTTGGTTCCCAGCATGTTGGAGTTCAGCTGGAATGATAGGGAAAGAAAAATCTTTAATGTTTGTAAACAAGCTTCTGTTGAAGTGCAAGTTAATCTCCAGACTACAGATGGACAGAACAGTTGTTCCTTGACTGAGTACATTTCATTTAAATGGTCAAGAAACCAGCTCTGCTAGGCAGGATTAATATTACTACACCTGGGGGAATTCTGCACCACTGCGTGTGCGCAGAAATAATAAGCCGTACATATTTTTAATAATTTGTGCAGAAAAAAGCTTCTGCTGGAAAGTTGTGCTGTGGCAACAGAACAGCACAGCAGCTGCCCGCCAGCTAGAGAAGAGAAAGAGCCTGCCTTCTTCACAGCAGCTGTCAGGCCAGGTCAGGAGACAGGGACTATGGGGAGACAGACAGCATGGGGCTGCTGGAGCGGGGTGGGGGTCAGATGGGGGTTCATAAGGGCTAGTGGGGGAGGACAAACTGGGGCAGGGGCTGAATGGGAGTGGAGGCAGAGGGCCACAGGGTGGAGGAAGGTGCAGGGCCACATAGGGATGGAGGTTGGCTGAGTGGGGGCACAGAGACACATAGGGGCAGGGGGAGTAGGTGCAGGGCCACATAGGGATGGGGGAGTGGGTGTCTGTGGAGGAACACATGTAGAACAGGGAGTGCAAGGATACATGGGGACAGGGGCAGATGTGCCTGACTGAATGGGAGAGGCTAGGGGTCAGCCAGGGTCTGCATGGGGGAAGCTCCCTAACAATCCATCCCCGCCCCTGCAAATAAATTGTGTTGTTAGGTTTTGCTGGGATATAAAGGGTTGTTTTATTAATATGAGGCCTAGTGTGATAAACTTATGCTAAGGATTGAATTTAGGTGAACTAAACAAGACCCAAGGGCTTAACCCAATGTCACGAATTATGCCTTCTCATTCTGTGTAACAAACAAATGAACACAGAAGGACAGGCACGCTGCAAGATTATGAAAGTTATTTTGAAATAAGGGGATGGTTTGGGGGCATCTGTATTGTTGTAACTAGGTAGTTAGATCACATTGACAGATCTGATTTATTAAGAAATTGACTGATCTAAATGCTTAGGTCACTGATCAGAAGCAAAATTACAGAAATCTGGAATGCCACATATGGAAAATGGGTAGGCACCTACCTTACTATGGTCATGAACCATATGCACACGAGTAGTTACATAAAGGAGGCGGTACAAAAGATCTAACCAAATTCTCTAAGATTTGGGTGCAGAGGATTCTTGAAACAGTGCCAACCAATTTGTGACTTGCTCTGATGTGCTCCACTGACTGAATTCTATATTTGTTTTCCATAAGGTTTAAGGATATGAGAGTATGCTATCCATCCTAAAACCTCTCTATCTGCACATTGCTTTGTATTTGGATATATTCATGAGTGGACTGATTTGGTTGGTCATAAAAGCCTTTATAGATGGAATATGCAATAGAGACCAATCTCCCAATCAATGAAAATCTTCTGTGTACCCACCTATCAGGGAGGGGACCGGAGCTAAAACAATACTAATTATCCTCGTACAGACATATCCTGTACTGCCTTTTGGGATGAGCTCACATAAGATCGGTGAGAATGCTCATGGCCTAAGTGGAGTAAAGTGCACAACTAAGTAGAGACAGGAAGAATTTAGAAAAAGTAATAGGTATATCAGAAAAATTATCCATTTCTTCTTTCTTCAAGGAAACAGTGCCTGCAGGAAAACTTTTCATTTTCTGCCTCAGATGGATGTGCTGTTCAGCAAGCACTTCAATGGGTTTTGGTTTTAAAGATAACTCAGCAACTTGTCCAGATGCATTAAGCAGTTTAATTATATTTGCTTGGAGTGGATTTTTGGTTGTCCCATGCTGCCATAGGATTCTTTTTAGCCTAAAGTAACAAACATTCAGAGACAGAAAAATCCCATAATGTCAGGGGTTGGGGGGGAGGGGCGAACAAAACCACTCCACACACTGGAAAATAGCAAACTTTCTTTTGTAAGACTGTGTATGTGATACGAAGAATTAGGCTAAAACATCAATTTCTGCATAATTTAAGAACAAATTGCATTTAACCTCTGATTATAATATATATATATATATATATATATATATATATATATATATATATATATACTACT